ATCAGTGTTCCACTCGCGGAAAGATATGATAAAAATGGCTTGTAAACAAAATGTCGTGTAGCATTTCATTTACTTCAGGCAAGTCATCAGTGTCTACAGCTCGTCAGTTCACCAGAGAAATGAAGTCTAGAGAAGAGCATTTCGAAATATTAGACTATATAGCTACTCATTATATTTTACTTTACCTGTTAATGGTGTCTTAATTATTTAATGTATATTTAAATAAATCTTTTATAAAACAAGTTATGACAGCCACTGTGTAACTGATTATATGTCAGTAAACGGCTCAAAACACTTGATTTCATGGGGCCTACAGTAGATGGCAAAGTACAATTCAAATTAAAAATGCACAATAATCCTAATTAAGTGAAATGATTGTAATCAGGTGGTTATGCAATGATCTGCGCAGGCCTCGCTGCGTGTTTTCTGTGCGGCGAGTGAACATCATGCAGGAGTGAATGCTAAGCTCAGGCAGGATCTGTGTGAGATTGAAAGGTCAGGTTAAAGGAGAGGACATCTCGATCCTCTTCACACACACAACACCGCCAAACAGCCTGTTCCCTCAGCAGGAAAATGAACCCGTGCGTCCATGTTTGTCCACATAAGCAAAATCCCTCGCACATTAGGTTCAGTTGTGCTGTACTGCAGCTCATTTAGAGCTTCTCTCAAGTAGGGCTGCACGATAAATCGAAATGAAATCGCAAAGTTGCGATTGTCATGCATATCTTTCAGTGAAGCACGGTTCTGTGATCAGCAGTAAATCTTCATCCAAAGGCCCGAGGGCGCTCTCGCGTGGAAACTTTAAATACCCAAGAGATCCCTATCGCTGCAGCTGAATAAATGGAAGATTTAACTGCTTTCATTCATTCAACGTGACTCATAAACACAGGACTACGACAATATATGATTTATCGGAGTCCTTATTATAATTTTCGTTATAATAAAGTATATAATAATGCAATGCTAATTGACTTAGCCTTTATCACTGCTTAGAATACTATGAAATATGTTGCGTGCCTATTCTGTGTAAGAAGCCACATCATCTCACAGAAGGATTTATTTCAAACACTCGACTGACGTTATGAAGTGAGTTTGGAGTAAAAACATGTTATTAAATGTGGTATTTTCACATGCTTTCAGATGGAGCAGCATTTACTACAGAGCCGTACAGTGTTGAAAATATTTATTTGATCCCCTGCTGATTTTGTAAGTTTGCCCACTTACAAAGAAATGAAAGTTCTGTAAGAGAGGTGACAGAGAACAGAGAACGCACCCTGTTTATTTTCTTTATTTTACAAAAGCACATTGTTTTGTTGTTATTATGGCTACACACAAATAAAAGTAGACCCTTTGCAGTTTCAAACAATACTTTATTCTTATCTGTACGATCAAAAATGACAAAGTAATTTTAGTTATTTTCACGGTCATCAAGAAAATACGAGACAGCTATCAAAAATAGCCATTGTTACTAGTAGAAATCCAATTCCTGATATCAAGAATTAGCATTTTAACTAGTGAAAACTGAATTGTTGATATCAAGAATTCATATTCTGAGAAGGAATAAAAGTCAAAACGGCTTGCCATACATTGTACTCCAGACTGCTTTCTGAATGAGGGACAATTCAAGGCAGGTTTTGTTACAAAGTTAAAACTCAAGGATGGATCAGTACCCATTGTTCGTAATCCAGCTGCAGCTCCAGAAGAAGTAAGTCTCACACTTTTTTTATGATTTCCCAATTTTTTATGATTATTTGCAAATCGCCTTTGCTTTTCCACAGAAGAGAGAGGCGGAGTAAGCAGAGCTCATTAGCACGTAAAGAGATATGCACTGAAATGAGTCGCAGTGAGGTTAAATACAGATTTAAAACCATAACAAGAAATAGTTTAATAGCTATGATACTGAAATCAAATCTTTGCAAAGCTATGACAGGAAACACTGGAATCTAACAATGCCTTAAAAAAAAACAGTTCATCTTAAAAAATAAAGCATATACATCAACCCATATAGGAAATAAGAGTTATCGAATAAGCATGTTGTAAACTCCTGAAACATTGGTGTTTCATATTTTAGAGCAGTCACTGCAATTTATGAAAGAAATCAATTAAATCTGTATGTGGGAGTGTGTGTGAACAAATCAGATGTAACCCCCTTTGTAATCCTTAACGTTTTCATAAGTAACTGTAATTTAATTACACATTTTTTCTCAGTAACTGTAACTGATTACAATTACTTTTATTTTGTAATTAAATTACGTAATTACATTACATGTAACGTCTCGGTTACATATGTAACCCTCGTTCCCTGAAGGAGGGAGACGAGAGACCAATCCACTTCCGAGTGGGATCCCTACCAAAGAGCCATGGATGCAGCGCCTGAAAATAGGCTAACTTCCGTCAACATAACCAATGTG